TCATCTCGGAAGTAAGCCTAATTTGTGGTTTTCTGAACTTCTTTCAGTAGCTTACTTTTTTGTGACAGAAGCTATTTTCTTGTACTTAATCCTCACGTTTAGAACGAACGAACACTGTATACGAAGTCAAAAAGATTTTAGCATCGACATGGCTAAAGGCTCTTCGTGTTGACTTCAAAGTTCTTAAACCTTCTGGTGGCTATCGCACAGCAGTGTGCAGTAGTTTTTAAGTCTTGGCTAACGCGGACTCCCAGGTCATGGTGGGCTTGGACAACGGGTAGCTCAATGTTATTCACCATGTGTGTTCCTGTACCTTGCAGACCAATATGCATCATAATGCACTGCCAAATCCTAGACCATCCAGCTAATTTTTCCATGTCATCTTGAAGCTGTAAACTATCAACTTAATTTTTTATCTCTCTACATATCTTGACACCGTCGGTATGTAAGAAGACTGATAATGATAGGAGGCTAGAAAGGTCATTAGCATTCAGGAGGAACAACACTGGACCCAAAACTGTATTTGAAGCACTCTTCTAAGCACAGTTTCCAAGCCAGACAACTTTGAGTTCACCTGTGCTTTTTGTTGACGTCAAACTAGGAAGTCCTTGATCCACATAAATAAACTGCCTTCCATACCAATATTACTTGACTTAAATAACAGCCGGATGTGTGAAAACTTGTCGAAAGCCTTACTTAAGTCAATGTAGGCCATATCTATAGTTAACTCTTAATCTTTAGGATTGCACAAATTTTCATGGACTGCCAATAAGTTTGTGAGACGTAAGTGACCTGTTTTAAAGTCATTCCGTTTTCCAGGAAGAGTCCATTTTACACCTAGATACTCAAGCATTTCCTTCTAAATAATTTTCCTAGCATTTTAACAAACACACTAGTCAGGCTTATAGTGACGTGTATATTCAATGACTTTTGTACTGACAAAATAAAAACTACACTTGTGTTTATTGTTTACTGTTCTGAAGAATTACGATCTAGTTCGGAATTTGTTCATTTAACTTTGTTTCTATAATAATAGACCTAATCCTGAAATTGTAGATTTGTCATGATGTGACTACATCATCTGTAAGTCCCTACTTGGGAGTCACGTCGTTTTCTATTCTGACTTGTATCGTGACAATCAGCAATCCGATGTTTAGCGTGTAGTGTGGTGTCCAGTCGAGTTGGACTATGAGCACCACTACAAGGAAACGCGTGCCAAGTAAACCAGAAGGCGAATATAAGGCGGAACCAAGTTTATTTTGTTGGCGATCTCGTGGTATCGAACGAATACCGAGATCGCGCCAAAAAGGATACAAATAAAATCGGCGGGCGAGAGTACGTGCGTACGAGATCACAAACCGCGGAAAAGTTAAGGAGAATAATAGAGGAGTAAAATGACTGTCAGTAGCACAGTTAAACAAACGAGCATAGTAAAACAATCACTGGTACAACTTGTTATAATAATAATTGTTTCCATTAAACCAATCTCGTTCTCTTGATAAAAGTAGGTCACTACAAGCGATTCTGAATAATACATCTGGGTTGGAAAGAAAGGCGGAGGTTACATGGGGTGACCACGCATGTATGGTCGAGCTATTTCATGTCGACTAATTGTCCCCGAGTTTGCTACTGTTGGCCTGCACTTAGGGTTACATGTTGAACGTAAATTTCCTCAGTAATCATACACTCAATTTCAAAGATCTTGCGCTTGGGAACCAATACTACTACAAGCTTTTCCGCTGTGATCGAGTCCTTAAGAAGGTTAGTGGTTGTCTAATATATGCATCTAAAAATATGAAGATGGAAATCTTTAGCGATGCTTTCCTCAGCGATTTTCCTGATTCTATATGGCTTACTGTACACTCTCATGGATGTAAAATACTAACTGAATGTGTATATCGAGCTCTAAACAATCCTGATTCAACCGAAAGCACTATAAGTTAGTAGTTCGCTAAGACTGCCTCTCTTAATTTCGCCAGAAAAATTATTTGTGGTAATTCAAGACTTCCCAGCACTAACTGAAAGAAACTCCAACCCATCGTGCTTTGAAAACATACTCGGTTACTTAGACACACGGTTGGCAGCAACATGTACACATGGGTACACAAAACCACAACATCCTCAACTTGATATTCTGTCACGTCACACCAACATATGTAGTGATTGGAGAGAATTCTCAGAGCAGCGATCATAAAACAGTCCTCTATACTGTACTGTTTCTTGTAAAGTGCAACAAACCCAAGACAATAGCTATGCGTTTCCAATATAGAGATTATGCACACGCTGAATGGGAAAACTTTCGATTTCTAATTAGGCACTTTGACTGTAGCAGTTTCTCTACTGATGTTAAGCTCTCAGAAACAGTAGAAATATTCAATATTGCTAGACGCTACTATCCCCTCCTCAATCGCTTATGAAACACTCACTCTTATATCAACCAAAAAGCTGTGTCTAAGCCGCGGAAACTAAAAAGGATTTATTGTACATCTAAAGATCTCAGTACTCAGGATAAAAAAGTAAACAAGTAGAGGAACATACTGCGCTCACTACCTCATGCGAATCCCTCAGCTTATGTTGTCTCCTTAAAAAGCGCATAAGAAAGAGTGTAGACCGCAACACTCACTCCATACGGTACGATGCTGTGACGTATTATAACCAAACAGTTATATGTGTACTGCTAAGTGAATGGTTTTTTCACAATTGGAATAAATCTCATGCCCTGCACATTAACGTCGAATGCATCGGCAAAAATAATCTTAGTACTATCAATGCTGATCCAGTTGCCTACTTATTTACTCACTACTGTAACAACTAATGGAAGAGCATAGGCCGACCACCAGCATTCCCTCATCCAACACTGTCCTGGGCAATCCTTTCTGGTTCTTTCTGGTTGATACTCATCCCTCTAATATCTGCTTCCAACTCCCGACGCAGTGTTCTTCGGCCTTCCTCTTTTCCGTTTTACTTCAGGATTCCAATTTAGTGCTCGCCTCGCAATACAGTTTGATAATTTCCTCGATATGTGGCCTATCCACTTCCACCCCCTTTTCCTAAATCCCTCCTCAGCTGGAGGTTGGTTTGTTCTCTCTCACAGTAGACTGTTGCTTATGGTATTCGGACAACTGACATCGAGTACCTTGAGTAGACGATTATTCGTAAATACCTGCACATTTTTGATGGTGGTTATGGTAATTCTTCAAGTTTCAACTCTGTATTGACGTTCGTATTGAAGGTTCTGTCTTTGATATTGGTTGGAATATGTTTCGAGTTCCATGTGTTCTTCAATTGTAGGAATGGTTTGCCTTTAACTCCGCATTAGATCCTGCTTCGATAGATGGTCTTGACATCTATAGAAAGGTCTATGTGTGCTGCTTCGATGTCTAATAATGGGCTCAATGGAGGTGGTCTATTCAAGAGTTCCTCGAAGTGTTCCACCCATCTGTTCCTCTGTCCTTGAATTTCAGTGATGGGGGTGCTTTCTCTGTCCTGAAACGGTCTCCCTGGTTTACTACATTTCCGTGCCAGTTTCTTCGTTTTGTCATATAGTTGTCTGATATTTCTTTATGTTGAATCTGTAGTTGTCAGATCTTCTATGTGTTTCTGATTGCCAGCCCTAATGTTCATTTTCAATCGGTTGTTTGTTTCTGTGCATTCAGCTTGTGCCTTCACTGTCTCTGTCATTGTTCAGCTGTTGTTGATTTCTGTCTTTTTGTTCTTCCGTTCTTGAATCTTGTCCAGGGTTTCGATAGTGATCCACTGCTTATTATGATATCTCTTGCAATCCAGAAACGGCTGACACGTTGAAGTTAATGCTCCTTTGATCCGTTTCCAGTTATCCTCCATCGTATTCTCATCCAACTAAACCAGATATTTTAAGGCTTGTAACTTGTGATTGAGAGCTTTGTTGAATTGTTTTATTTTGTTAGTATGTCGAAAGAAAGCTCTATTGAACCTTTGTAATTGACCTTCTCCAGTTGTCAAGCATTTCTTTAACTTCAGTTTTATCTTGGTCACAACTAGGTGGTGATCTGGTAGCATCAACCTCTCTGCTTGTTGTCATGTCTTCTATTGATATTGTGAGTTTTTTAGTGATACAAATATGGTCAATCTTGTTCTGTGTGGTGTGGTCCGAGTGAGACCCATGTAGCTTTGTGTATGCGTTTATGCATGCCTCTTCCAAGAAACAACGAGCGTAGTTCTACCACAATCGGTATGGCAACTCACCAGATAACATGAGAACAACCGGCCATGATGGAATAATGAGGCAGCCGTCAAAATACATTGTTAATTACGAAAACCTCGCGCAAGGGAAGTGATCTAACGATTGTGGGATAAGGACAAATGATAATAGTCTCATCTTGAACCAGTAAAACACGAAATGAAGGGAGTGAAATGTAGTGACCAAACATTTAGCGATAAAAAAGAGGGACTATTAATACATAGTGTGTAATAGAGTGATCTCCATTAACACATTCGCAAAAAATGCTGCATCATTTCACCGACCTTTAGCTTCAGATTACCACCTCTAATGCAAACTAAAATTAATAAAACTTGGCGAACAATCCTCAGATTCATTAAATTTATGTCCATTCTATAGCATCAAATCCCTTTACGTTTCTTATATCAACTAGAGTAGCTAAGTTTAGTTTTCTTAAACTGTTACTGGCTTTTCAGTCAATGAAATTTCACAGCCATGTACTTAGTGACATCATGAGGTATTGGTGCTTAAAGTAGGCGAACAGGTAATCTATTGACATGACGGAAACGAATCACGGTTTCTGAGGCGTTGCTCTACTTGATTCATTAGAAAATAACAGAACCGTCAAAAATGTCAGAGGTCAACTTTTCAAACATGACTGGGGAAATCGGTTCTTATTCGTCCAATTGACAATTTTCCCCGCTTATTTTTTAAATTTTTGTTTTGACTTGACCTGTCTTGAGGAGTCGGTTTCCACCTTGTCCTATTCCAGGTGAAGCGGTAGTCTTGGAACCTGCTCAGGATGATGGTATGTCGATTTAAATTCAATAACCCAATCAAAGATCGACAAGCAACCCTTTCATGTTACCGCCAACTGTATTTATAAATTTACGTGTACCTGCCAAAGCAGCTACATTGGCCGAACTGAAAGGAGAGCATATCTTAGATTCTTTGAACATGTTCCAAAAAGTCTTAGAACAAGGGAAAGAAAGACTTTGAACAGTGCGATCACCAAACATCTCCTTGATACAGGACATCAAGTAGATACCTTACAATCCTTTCGGGTGATTAGTAAGCAGCCAAACTCCAGTCTTCTGAAGTTTGCTGAAGCCATTGCCATCAGGCGACAAAAACCTGACCTATGTATTCAAAAGGAGACGGTGGTTAATCTTTCCTTACCCTGGTGACAAATATTCCTTCACTGAACCTTAACATTTTTTTCTTTTTTTCCTCTTTTTTCTGTTGCATTTATTACATCATTGGTTCTAATTTATTTTGTCAACTATCTTTCAAATTAATAATCTTTCAACTGAACTCTAATCGCTATATTCCTATCAATGTTTATTCATTATGTAATCAATTGTTTCTAACCCATTTTTGAACTGTTGTCACAATGAATGTTGTAGAATATTCTTTCACATTAGGTATATATTTACAATATTCTGTAAGCAATTTAAATCCATTATGCAATTATGATTTTTAAATATCACAGGTTGTAAGCAGCTGACGAGAACCTACGAAATAAAATGAATTCATGCTATTCTGCTAGAATCTTTGTTCTTGCTCTTTTCAAAATGATAAAGGGAACTATGTGTATGAGAATTAAGTACCGACAGAATACGCGTCGCCAATCCCCCACTGTTGAAAATATCAGCAGAATTTTGTTTTCAAGCTCAATTCAATATTAGAATAGTTCCTGGTAATAAACTGATCTTATATATGCAGCGCTTTTAACATGGTAACATGAGTATTAACTTGGACCGAATACGTCAGTTTATGATACTAAAAAGTATTTGAATTAATGTACTAACCAAGAATTCCTGGAATGGTGAAATTTATAACAAACAAAAAGATGAACACAAATGAATGTATTTAGTTTTAAATTTTTAATCAGTGCTCAATCAGATACAAAGGAATCACTAGTCAGTGGAAATACCACAGCCACCACTGCTTTAATGGACATTCAGATTCCCGTAATCTGTTGTACAACTTAGCTCCATCCTGGGTCTTTCCAGTTGTGTATTGTGCACAGACTGTATGATCTAGAATGCCATCATAAGGATTATAATTAACAACCGAAATTGGAACGAACTCACAAGGGTCCTTTCAAGGTATTCGGTTGTTGTAACTGGCTTGCATGTGATTTATACATTCGTCGACCTGTTTTAGCAAATCTTCCGTAAATTGCGAAAAAGGAGTTCTTGTGCGAAGATTGTTTTGCTCATACAATTACATTGTGGTTTCTTCTGCGTACAGTCTGGCGATTTTGCACTGAACGGCTCCAAGATTGTGCTCAGTTTTTCTCATTTAGTTTCCGTCATTTGTAAGTTTTTAGACAGATAACTCACCAATATCATGAATGATGATCAACCATGACCTATCATAAGAAGCTCATGATGTTCTAAATTCTTGTGAGTCGCTCAATGTTTTGTTTTCTCACTTCGAGATGTTTTCCAATTTTAAACTCTTGCATATTCTTTGATTTGCTTTCTATCATTACCATCTCTAAACCACATAATCTGACCTATGATTCATAACTTTCATGATTAGCAGTGTGATACACTAAATCTATATCTAATCCACAAAACAGAAGACTTAACCATCTGATTTACTTGTAACATGGAACAAGTAGTGACAGTGTATTTCAACAAGACTCTATGAATAAAACGATATTCATACACACCACAAACGTAAGAAAGTCCAACATGACAAAGGCAGGGAGATGTTGTTACAGACAGGCAAACATGATGGTGAGGAGATAACTTCGATTCACCCATGTGTTCAAGGCAGAATATTTTATTTAATTACGACTCATTATGTTCAATTGGAACGTCACGAACCAGTGGTATTGATACTAATTTATTATGTAAAATACCCATTTAAATCGTGTTTGTGATGTATAGATAGGCCTGACAAGCTTATTTTGTAAATAGTTTTTAATGTTATTTGTATTTATTTTGTCAATTTTGCACTTTATGTACATTTGTCATTAAATGACTGTACCTGTTGTTTTAGTGAATGACCTTGAGCACTTTTTCCGTTGTGTTACTAACATAGCGTGACACACTTGTGGCTGTTCGCAAATACACTATTACGCACACACTCCTTGTTCTATTCTCACTCGTTATCGAGCCAATTGCATTCTAAATCGAATATTATCCACATTTTAGACTGTTGTGTCATTACTATTACATCCTACGTCAAGAAAACTTACTGGAGTCATATTTACCTCATCGGAGTTATTACTCATTTATAATTGTGGATTTTGGTACAAAAACTCAACGGAATACGCGACAACTAGCTGATTTAAGTAACGTCTCTGAACTTTTATTCTGTGTTACTAATTTATAAATTATTAGTGTTATATTGACTTTTGGACGTAATAAATTTATTGCTAATGTTTGGTTAATATACTTTTTGTTCCACCACAGTGACGTTGAATTGGTTTCACTTCGTACCGAGCAATCCTATTCTAAGCAAAACTGGACATTTCACCATAAACGAGGCGTGCTAATGAGCCTATATACTCACTAAAGATAAAGGTGAGCTGAAATAGCTTCGACAAAAAGGGAGATACCCATTTGTGTATCAGAAATTTTTTTCAGAACTATATTTTAAAACTACACATAATCCTATACTTTCAGCTTCTCTTCTGACCCGCTCTCTTCATACAGTTGTTTGTCCATTCAAACCATATTTACATTTTTTTTCAACCTATTAGAATGCTCTTGCTTAAAAAGTACCTTAATAATGGGAACTTAGTAGTCACACCTTCACTATTTCACCACATATGACTCAATTTCAATAGGCATGAACGTCGTCTATCTTGTTTCTTGTCCTTTCTTTGACTTACTTCCTTTTCCAGCCCCCCCTCAAGATATGCCGCCGATAAAGCATATGAAACAGCTGATTTCGTTCTGCGCCACCATTATTACCTCAGATGTTGATGAAAGAAATAAGGTTGCGGTTTGTAGAAGATCTCAAACGTTCGTGGATTTAAAGTGGCATTGGGCCCTAACTACAAAATCCTGAAAGCTGAACACGGTAAAATTGGGAAAATAGATATTCAATATTCAACGTAGAGAAAAACCCAGCAATAAGGAATACGGGAAGAATAAGTTGAATTAAATCTTGTTTATCAAATGGCACTTATCGACTTAGAATACGCAGATGACAGTCCTGTTTGGTGAAGACGCTGACAAAATGCAGAGTCTTCTGGTAGCACTGAGCAACAATACCAGAATGTTTGGAATGCGCTTCTCTCCCTCTAAATGCAAGTTGTCGCTTCAGGACTGGTCTGCGTCAACACCTGAACTAAGGATAGGGAGTGAAGTAGTCGAACGCGTTGACAACTTCACTTATCTTGGAAGTCTGATCAGCCCTAATGGGTTGGTATCGGACGAAATCTCAGCACGGATTCGAAAAGCTCGTTTGGCTTTTGCCAACTTACGTCACCTTTGGCGAAGGCGAGATATCCGTCTATCAATAAGAGGACGAGTATACTGCGCGGCAATGCTATCCGGTATTGGAGATGGTTGGAAGAGAGTTAGGGGCGGCCAAACCAAAACGTGGCATCAGTGCTTGAAGTCACTAACTTCTAGTCTGAGCCATGTTGGTAGATGCAGACTACTTGGTTGGGGTCCGCGTGACTATCGTAACCAATGGTTGGAGACTCTTGGTGACATGGCTCAGAATCGATCACAATGGCGTCGGTGTATACACTCCCTGTCTTCCCTTAAACTAAGAGATTAAAATCGCTTCATATCTTTCTTTCTAAGAACCAATTCTTTCTTCTTGTACTATATCTCTATATGGAATCTTTCTCTTACATATTACTACCTTTGACCTAACCACTGCTATGAATCAGGTGTTCATCTTGTTGTGCTGATGCGGTATGGCAACCTGGACCGATGCACATATGTGCCTGGTCTTACGTTGTAGCTGACTGACTGACTGAAATGGTATGGCTAGGACTTGCAGGCGTTGTCATTGTTGAGTGTTACCTCATACCTTATACTCTAATTAAATATATTATTCTATCTCTAGCCTAAGTGTGTTCTTCATCATATATTGATGATTGTTACGATGCGACAAGGTGGTGCAGATAATATTGTGACTTCAAATCATAACAACCGAGGATGGAAAACTTACGACTAGTAATACTTGGTTCTGGAGAAACACCCAATTATTACCGAGGGTTGTGTATACAGTGTAGGCGTTTGTTCTGTATTAACTCTTGCAGCTACCTAGATACACGAACTTCTCGACTACTTCTATCTGTTCACCATCCAGGGTGAGTGCAGGATTAGAATCCTGCCAGTCTTATAGAAGTACTTTGCACTTCGAAGGTGCAAAGCACATACCATACCTACGGACACTGATTGCCAACTGATTAAGTGCGGATTGCATGCCTTGGGCATTATCGCACAGTAAGACAATATCGTCCGCATACTCAAGGTCGTGAAGTCTTTCTCCAGTTAACAGATCCACACCACCATTACTTACATCCATCAGAGCTGTTTCCAGAATGTCATCGATGGCAAAGTTGAAGAGGAATGGTGAGATTGGGCAACTCTGCCTAACCCCACTGTTCGAATGGAACAATGGAGAGAGGTGGTTGTATGCCCTCACTCTGCCTGAGGTGTTTGTATATAGGGCTTTTAGGATGTTAATAAACTTCTCAGGCACGTCCTTCTTCAATAGACAATCCCAGAGAACAGTCCTATCCAACGAATCGAAGGCAGCCCTGATGTCAAGAAACACTACGATTGTTGGCCTTTGATAAGTATGGCGGTGTTCTAACATTTGGCGGAGGGTGAAGATATGATCAATACATCCTCGACCAGAAAGAAACTCAGCCTGCTCCTCGCGAGTCAATCATTCTCGAGTTTTGAACAACCTACGAAGTATGATGGAAGCCGATAGCTTGGACGCAATCGGAAGTAGACTTATCCCCCGATAGTTGTTTCAGGAACGACGTGAACCTTTTTTAAAGATAGGGACAACTATCGACTCATTCCATGACGTTGGTACACTCTCTAGTTCCCAAACCTTTGTGAACAACGTCGTCAATTCCTTAGTCAAAAAGTCACCACCATGTTTAAAAGAGCCGGAGGTAAGTCATCTGGACCAGGTGATTTGTAACGCTTCAAGAGTTGGAGTTCCTTGGGGACTTCCACCTCATTTGGTGGATCAGTCATCACCGGCCATGGAGGGCAGGACAGTCTGACCGATGTTGCCGGAGCAGCAGGCCAGTTGAACTGCTTCTCGAAAAATTCTGCCCATCGTCCAAGACGTCGATGGATGTTAGTGATTGGCATCCCATCATCCTCGCAGATTGTTTCACTCACACCACACTTCTTGTTGCCAGTGGCTCGGATAATTGGGAAGAGATTCCGGTAATTACCAGGTGCAGCTGCTGCTTCCAGTTCATTAGCACTCTCCGACCACCAAGCTTCTCGTTCCTTACGCAAGCTTTGCCCAATTTCCTTACGTAACATCCTTCGTTTGTGGTCAAACTCACGGTCACCCGGAGTAGACTGACGGGCTTCAATGAGTTGTAAGGAGCCTGAAGAAACCCAGTGCTTATAAGCGGGACGTTTCGCGAACCCACAACTGACTGTACTTACCATTTTCATGGCGTCATGCAATTGCAACCAATGCTCATCTATACTTTTCGTTGGGATGGTAGCTAGCCTAGAGGCTAGCTCGGTTCGATACTTACTAGCAACAGAAGTTGCAACCAGCTTGCTAACATCAATCCGTTGGTGGTGGTCACTTCGTTGTCCACAGAAAAGTAAGGCAAGATTGGCGCAGACCAAAGCATGGTCAGAGTCCAGATAGGTACTCGAAAAGAAACGGCAGTCTTGTACACAACCAGAATGGTCAGATCTCTTGCTGACCATTTCTCTAGGATGAGCTACAGCCTCTCATGAAATTAGTCTTTGTCATTCTCCTTCCTACTGTTGGTGATTTGGTAGCACTGGATGATGTTCATTGTAATCATGTCCGCTTTTATTTTGAAAGATGCTTTAATGTATACATGTGGCCATGTGAGAGCGTTTCGAGAGGAAGAGCGGACTCTCCCCACCCTTGGTCCTAACAAGGCATTTATGGGCCAACACCTTGTATATGGGAAGGATCGTGTGCTTCATGACCGTAATAAGACAACACCTTTTTTAAAGTTTGCCTTTTCTACCCAGACTATATTCAATGGGTTTCGCTTCTTCCAAATACAGCCAGATTGTTTCGTCTTATTTTTGCGACTATGTTAAAAACTCATTCTGTCTCTCACATTGTTCAAACATTCCACGTCCATTTATTCGTCATTGTTTTCGGTTGTCAGAAAAAGCGTCGGCATCTTGACTTTCAAAAAGTCTCGACTTCCCAAATTCGACACTATAAATCTTCTATATGAAGACCCATCAAGTCACAGCTGAAGGTCTAATTAGTTTTCTGTGGTTGGCGTTCTTTTCAGTAGACTTATTTTTCACAAAGTAGATTCGTTAAGCTTACGGTTAACTGTGGTTCTAAAGGAGCGGGACTAGCTCTATGCGGACTTACTTATACTCAGTATCATTAAATATTTTGGATAATTTCAGTTGCTTGATTAATATTTTTATTTGTTCATCTTTTTTTTCTTTAGAATAGTCCATTTACTACGGATGACGAATTTAAAAATGATGAAGCTGAATGCAGTTTACCTTTTACGGTAGTGACTGATATTAATGTGAGTACATGTGTAATGTTCACTCTCCTCTTCATCGCCTATCATATTAATCTGGATAGCCAGGATTTTTTTGTACTATTGATATATTGTAGAATATGGGTACAAACCTAGGTAGAAATAGTTGACATGATTTGGCTTTTATCTAGAAAACCAATAAGCAAACTGAACAACTGTTTTTTCTTAGTATGTAATCTTTAAGTAGTGTACATATATTATACTTTCAAGAATCAAATCGCAGACCGTCAACTCGTAGCAAGTATTTAATCTTTAGGAGTTGATGAATTCAGTTAGTTTTAATCGATGTAGACGCAAGCACAAATGTGCTTTGATCCACGTTTTCCTACTAAATCAACACTGTGACAAAATTAAGTCGATAAATAGCTATGTAATTGAAGTAATCGTGGTGGTAATGATAATATGAATGACAACATATTGGACATATGGTTCTCAAAGAAGGAACGTATGGAGGAACACTGAAAATGAAGATGTAAATGAAGATAAGTGGTAATTACATATGTGCCACTGTATTGAACTTTACACCATATCACCTTGTTCTTCCAAACATTGGTCAGGATAATCACGCAGGCCCGACTACTGACTCTCTTTAGGCGAGATGTTGGTCAGTAGAGTAGTAGGCTAGAAGAATACCAACTCTCCACATGGAAATGAGGGAGCAATTTCTGAAGCTATTGGCTGTTGGGTTGAACTGGTTCAGAAGTGAACAGTCCCTATGAATCGATTCAATGTCAAACACAAGTGATTAGCGATTTGCAACGAAAACTTATGGATGCCGGTGAAAGATCATCGACAGATGCCTCTGGTCCACCTGATTCGACTGGTCAAATGCTCTCATCTCGTTTATGCCAACTACATAGCATCCAAGAAGCACGAATAGCTTTGAAATATCTATTCAGATAAGTAGGTTGTACTTTTTATTCTTTTCTAACCAGACTGACCAATTGATGCATCTGTCCATATTGTCAAGCTACATTTGAATATAAGTGGTCACTGGGTAGACATATAACAACATACGTCCGTGCAATATGGTTTATTAATTTAATGATGTAAGTTACAGCAGAATGTCGATTCTGTAAACAGGCTTCGCAAAGCATTGCCAATAGGATATGAATTTCACTTATTTATTCTCTATAAAAATGTAGTGATCTGATTCGACTAGTCAACAGTTCTTTATTTTGCTTATTCTTGCCGTTTTTATTTATTTCATAGGCATCGTCATCTGAAGTTTCTAAGATTAATTTAGAAACTCAAATATGTGAATTGGAATCCCAACTGAATGCAGAGAAACGAAAATCTGAGGAGAATGTAAGTTGGAATGATAAGTTTTCTACTGAAACACCAATACTCGAATGCATTTGTGAAGTTCTTAAGTCGATGCAAAAATCCTATACTATATGTGCCTTCTTGAAGAGGAGCGTTAGCCAGTATGCTACTACACAAATAAATTCGTTTGGCATAATTTTAAAACTTATGTTTGAATTGATCACGACATCTCTGAGAAATCGGCGAACGGAACGAAGTATCAATGACACTACAATGCGTCCCAGCCGGTATATTTACAGGTCCTTCTGCTTTCCCAATCTTGATTTGTTCGATCGTTGATGAAGTGACATCCACAGGAAGGTCTGTGTGTGCTGCTTCGATGTCTAATAATGGGCTCAATGGAGGTGGTCTATTCAAGAGTTCCTCGAAGTGTTCCACCCATCTGTTCCTCTGTCCTTGAATTTCAGTGATGGGGGTGCCTTCTCTGTCCTGAAACGGTCTCCCTGGTTCACTATATTTCCGTGTTTGTATCCAACTTCAAGAAACGTAAGGGGAGTATTCTAGGAACATCAAACTACATTTGACCGGTGGGAAAAAACATAGTATCTAGTGTCATCACTAAAGAATAAATTTTTCTACAAGCAGATAGAAGTATTCGAGAAGTTTGTGTATCTAGGTAACTGCAAGAATTAATATAGAACAAACGCTTACACTGTATACACACCCCTCGGTAATAATTGGATGTTTCTCCAGAACCACGAATTAAATGGCTTGACTACTTCCAAACGACTTGCCTGTGTCTCTAATAGCACTTCGTTAATCTGAATACTTAAATACGTAAAAAATATGACACACTTAACTTTTTCACTCTGTAATTTAAGAAAAGTAAGGAGAGTATTCCAGGAACATCACCCTACATTCGACCGGTGTCATCACTAAAGAGTAAAGTTTTCTACAAACGCTCATATGCTTCGCAAATGACAACAGGGTCTTTGATAGGATGGCAATATCGTTTAACACCCTTGTCGAAGATAATCTCGTGAAACTTCTCAATCGACTGAGTTAAATGCCACTCACATGTTAAAGAGCATAGAGAGTCCGTAAGTATGGGGATGAATTCTACTGTGTCAATAACACATTGCTTACTACAGGGGCTTTCCAAGCGTAACCAAACCTGATGTGATGAAAGAAAATTGAATGTCGAGTAACTACTAATTGATCTGTTTGGCAAGACAAATGAGGACTATATTTATGTCGATCACGTAATAAAAAAAACGCCACCAAAAGATAACAGTAGAAACATCCAAAGATACGTATAAAATACACATACCTTCTTTAAGTCAGTCACCTTCAGCATGTGTTTTCTTAATTCGTTCAGAGCCAGCTAGGTCGACTAAATGTAATTTAACTGTTAATGTACCTCCTGTATTCTCCCCATCCATCTCTGTTATCTTTGGCCGCAACAAAAAACATAGAGTAAGGATGGTATGACTGCGACTGGATCTTAAATTCCGCCCCCCCGTACTCGCAACGCTTCTTTTTGTTGAGCCACAGCGAATAAGATAAAGAACTTCTTCCGGAGATGTGACCACTGTTTCAGTTAGGCCAGGAACGTTCGGACAATGTGGGAGACCGTATATACTGTAGTGAACACGAACACCAGTGGGGAGCAGTCGAATGCATATGACACAACATTACAGAACCTTTTAATAAAATCTAACAATCAAATAGTAAATACGTAATTTGCAAAATGTCCTTCAATTGTCTCATAATGACTCAGACTTCATTGTTCTTGCATTTTCATAAAAATTGCATTCCGTTCCCATTCTTTACTGTTCGCTCCTCTTGTCTCTCTGCTGCTAGACATTCTGTTCACGACTAACATCATCTACTACTTATGTCAATATAAGTAGCACACACCACAGTACTACTAAAATATTTACGGAACCTCGGAGATACAAATTGACGGTTTTCGGAACCAGTGAAAAACAATGAACACATGCTGAACAGAAAAAGCTAGATACGGGAGAGATACCTCTGTACTCCAGTCACGAAGAACATAATTCTTTCAACACTCAGGGAATCGCTCTGATGCCGTCCAAAGAAGTACGTAATGCATTTATAGGACGGGTTTCTCAAGGATCCAGAATAATCAAAATGTCCTTCAAAACAAAGAAGGAGGGAATCATAATGAATTTTATCCAAGGATATGCACACACCAATCATTGCAACAACGACCATAAAGATCAGTTCTATGAGAGGCTGCAGTCAATCATAGCGAAGCACTCCAGATAGGATCTCATCATCCTGACAGTAGACCTAAACACCAAAGTCGGAATGGATAACACTGGATATGGAAATATCCTGGGACGACATAGACGGGGAGAGAGAAACGAGACTTGTGAATTCAACAAAATGGTCATAGGTGGTGGTGGTGGCTTGGAATCTATGCAGTAAACTCTAAATACGAAGTGAGGAAATAACTTAATAAGTTGGTTCTCTTCACGTATTTGTAGGGATGCAGATACATCTTCGCCCAACAGATCATGTATATCCTCTTTATATATCTGGGAAATAACTCAATACAAAATGTGTATATTACCTCCAGAATGAAACCTTCACTGTATACTCATACTCATAATTTGGCATTTTCTCAAATAAATCCTTAATAATTCGAGGAACAATACCAGTGGATTCTTCTACCACACTTTCGGAGATACATTTACCCATTGTATATGTTTTCCACTTCTAGTTTGACCATAGGCAAACACAGTAGCATTGTATCCTTTGAGAATAATTTCAACCATTGGAAGTGCAGCCTTTTTGTAAACATACTCTTGAGAATCTGTTTCTTTGAAAACATAGTCAAAGCCAAAACGCTTGTCGTTTCCATTATTAGCTGATTTCCTTCATTTGGATATGACAAACAGGTCGAACTACCGTCATTCACTTCATTGTCTGACAATGGTCGAACACGACACCAACTTTCACACTTGTGTCCCCAATTCCCATTTGTACAGGGTACGGAAGTATCAAAGCGCTAAGAGCTGTTGACAGATAATAATATATTCATAGCTATAGAAGTTTTAAACACAAAACTTTCAATGAAAATCAATAACATCAATCGGAATGTTTTTGGTACATAACAGAATAGAAGACATCATTAGTGGCTACAAACTATCAGGAACATAGTAACTCATGAAAACTAAACATACCTAATTGTCGACGTTTAATAGGAAAGAATGCATTTATGTGAGAATTGAAGTAACAGAGAATTAAGTAACATTCCACTCGAGAAAGTTTAACTGCTGAAAAGTTTGTAAAACCTGAAGGAAATGTGAGCACTACTTTAAACCGTAGTCACGTACTATTGGGACACTTTGTATTGAACTTTTACCAAGAATTAGGAAAGATATTAAAA